AGGATGAATTCAGCCAAATTGAGAGACTGTTGTCTAACGCCTATGTCCACATATAGGCCCAAAATTTGGGTTCTGACACCCACAGACAGAGATAGAAATTAGAATACAATTGCACAGCTGATGTTGCCAAATTCCCAGACAAGGGAACCCATGAGCAGCTACCTAAACCTGAAATGTCAGTTTTGGGCAGACAGACTGTTTAACGAGAAAACGACAGACAGTCACATTAACCTAACACATCCTGGACACCAAATTACAACCCAGAGTCTTAATTTTGCAGACACCACACCTTTCATCATGCCTAACTACTACAAGTCAATTTCACTAAGCAAACTCTTGTTTGTTTTTGTATGAATAATAAAAGAATACACAATATTGGGGAAGCTAAAGCAATCGCTAAACTATGATGATCATTTCTGACACATTCCACAAAAAAAAATACACACAAACTGACCAGACACATTCATCAGTTACTGCACCCTAGCACAACCAAGATCAACAGATTGTGAAGCTGTCGGAGTTGTGAAATGGGTTGTTAAATATCAACCTCTAGGCCTCTAACAATCGCTCACATTTTTCACTGGCTTACAGATCAAGGACAGACAGATCACAGCAGGCAGACACGCTCTAGCACTGGAGGTCCAGCACTGGAGGTCCAGCACTGGGTCCCGTCTTGTTGAATTCAGAGGCTAGAGGAAGTAGTAAAGAGACTGAAACACAAGGGCATTGTAAATGTCTAGCAAGGATTCTCCCAAGGGCACTAAGACAAGATTTTCCAAGTGGTGTAGAAATAAAAACACTAATGCAGTTATATAAAAGCCTTACTCTACTACACTTCTACTGACCTATACTTTACAAAACAAGCTAAGAATCTCCCAGAACATAAGACAAACGTTTATTCTTATATCTCCAACAACATACTTGGGTCTCAACCTGGTCAATGATACTTTATTCTGTGCCCTACACAGAGCGCAGGATTCTGGGGACAGAACTGGACACTTGACCCCATACAGTACATGTCCTCTGAAATCACAGCACTGAATATACAGTTCTGGCCACAAAGAAATCACCATCTTCCACAATGACATTCAGCTACCAAATATTTGGCAGAAGCAATTGTTTTCTATCTACTCTTCTGCTTTGCACATACTGCCAGTATTGCTTCCTATATACAGGTAATACTGCCACACACACCCTGCCAATACGTAAAGCACTTCCATCCCCTTGGTGTAACGCAGACTGTCTGGACGCGGTTATGGTTGTATATGTGACACTGTACTACATGCGAAGAAACAATACTGTGTTTTTCTATTCTGTTACATGGAGTATGTTCTACCTTCACACACACATTTCATGCAGTAACTCTATACTTCTATCCACTGTTACATGGAGTACATCCTACCTTTGCTTGCTGTCCTTTGTGTAATGGCTGTACTATCTGCTCAGAAATACTGCAGCATTTTACAGTGTTCTGGGTAAAAACACTGTAGCATGGAGTGTGTCCTGCCTTCACCCTCACTTCTTTTATACAGCACTGTACTATGTACTACTATACACTGTAACATGGAGTTGTGTCCTATGTCACACCCACCTTTTTATACAGTACTGAATTATGAATTACTATATGCTGTAACATGGAATATGTCCTAAGTCACACACTTCTTTTATGCAGTATTTACTATGTGTCTACACTGTACTATAAGCTCCCACACAATCTTACATGGCGTACATCTTATGCCGTGTGCTTCTCTACACTAACATGGAGTATGTCCTACCCAGGGGCGGACTGACAACTCATGGGGCCCCCGGGCAATAGGGGATCATGGGGCCTCCGTGTACTCGCCCACACTCAAACCACACCCAAAAAAAAAAAAGCCTATGAAAGGTACCAGGGACATCTCATGGGGCCCCCTACTGACCCCGGGCAGTGCCCAAGTACCTGCATGGTCAGTCCGCCCCTGGTCCTACCTTCACACATGCTTCTATACAGTACTGTAACATAGGCTTCCATACACTGTTACATGGAGTATGTCCTATGTCACACACATCTATGCAGCACTGTACTGTATACATCTATACACTGCCACATGGAGTATGTCCCATGTCACACACTTCTATGTAATACTGTACTGAGGTTCTATACACTATTACATGGAGTACATCCTATGTCACACACATCTATGTAGTACTGTACTATGTGGTTCTATACACTATTACATGGAGTATGTCCCATGTAACACACATCTATGTAGTACTGTACTATGTGATTCTATACACTGGTACATAGAGTATGTCTTATGTATCATACACTTCTATTATACAGTACTGTAACATAGGCTTTCATACACTGTTACATGGAGTATGCCTTGTCACACACATCTATGCAGCACTGTACTGTATACTTCTATACACTGCCACATGGAGTATGTCCCATGTCACACACTTCTATGTAGTACTGTACTATGTGGTTCTATACACACTATTACATGGAGTATGTCCTATGTATCATACACTTCTATTATACAGTACTGTAACATAGGCTTCCATACACTGTTACATGGAGTATGCCCTATGTCACACACAATATGCAGCATTGTACTGTATACTTCTATACACTGCCACATGGAGTATGTCCTATGTCTCCTATACTTCTATGCAGTACTGTAATGTAGGCTTGCATACACTGTCACATGGAGTATATCCTGTCACACACACTTCTATTATACAGCAATGTACTGTATACTTCTATACCCTGTAACATGGAGTGTGTCCTATGGCTCGTATACTTTTATACCCTGCCAGATGGAGTATGTCCTGCCCAGGGGCGGACTGACCATTTGGAAACTCGGGCACTGCCCGAGGGCCCGGGGTCAGTAGGGGGCCCCATGAGAGGCCCCTGGTACCTTTTTCATAGGCTTTTTTGAGTTTGGGAAGGACACAGGGGCCCCATGAGTTGTCAGTCCGCCCCTGGTCCTGTCTCAGACTTCTATCCCCTGTCAGATGGAGTATGTCCTATGGCTTGTAGACTTCTATATACCGTACTATATACTTCAATCCTCTGTCACGTGGAGCGTGTCCTAGGTCTCACAGACTTGTATCCCCTGTCACGTGGAGCGTGTCCTAGGTCTCACACAGACTTGTATGTCCTAGGTCTCACAGACTTGTATCCCCTGGCACGTGGAGCGTGTCCTAGGTCTCACAGACTTGTATCCCCTGGCACGTGGAGCGTGTCCTAGGTCCTTGTATCCCCTAGCACGTGGAGCGTGTCTCACAGACTTGTATCCCCTGGCACGTGGAGCGTGTCCTAGGTCTCACAGACTTGTATCCCCTGGCACGTGGAGCGTGTCCTAGGTCTCACAGACTTGTATCCCCTGGCACGTGGAGCGTGTCCTAGGTCTCACAGACTTGTATCCCCTGGCACGTGGAGCGTGTCCTAGGTCTCACAGACTTGTATCCCCTGGCACGTGGAGCGTGTCCTAGGTCTCACAGACTTGTATCCCCTGGCACGTGGAGCGTGTCCTAGGTCTCACAGACTTGTATCCCCTGGCACGTGGAGCGTGTCCTAGGTCTCACAGACTTGTATCCCCTGGCACACGTGTGGAGCGTGTCCTATGTCTCACAGACTTGTATCCCCTGGCACGTGGAGCGTGTCCTAGGTCTCACAGACTTGTATCCCCTGGCACGTGGAGCGTGTCCTATGTCTCACAGACTTGTATCCCCTGGCACGTGGAGCGTGTCCTATGTCTCACAGACTTGTATCCCCTGGCACGTGGAGCGTGTCCTATGTCTCACAGACTTGTATCCCCTGGCACGTGGAGCCTGTCCTATGTCTCACAGACTTGTATCCCCTGGCACGTGGAGCGTGTCCTATGTCTCACAGACTTGTATCCCCTGGCACGTGGAGCCCTATGTCTCACAGACTTGTATCCCCTGGCACGTGGAGCGTGTCCTATGTCTCACAGACTTGTATCCCCTGGCACGTGGAGCGTGTCCTATGTCTCACAGACTTGTATCCCCTGGCACGTGGAGCGTGTCCTATGTCTCACAGACTTGTATCCCCTGGCACGTGGAGCGTGTCCTATGTCTCACAGACTTGTATCCCCTGGCCCTGGACCTGGAGCGTGTCCTATGTCTCACAGACTTGTATCCCCTGGCACGTGGAGCGTGTCCTATGTCTCACAGACTTGTATCCCCTGGCACGTGGAGCGTGTCCTATGTCTCACAGACTTGTATCCCCTGGCACGTGGAGCGTGTCCTATGTCTCACAGACTTGTATCCCCTGGCACGTGGGAGCGTTGTATCCCCTGGCACGTGGAGCGTGTCTATGTCTCACAGACTTGTATCCCCTGGCACGTGGAGCGTGTCCTATGTCTCACAGACTTGTATCCCCTGGCACGTGGAGCGTGTCCTATGTCTCACAGACTTGTATCCCCTGGCACATGTGTCCTATGTCTCACAGACTTGTATCCCCTGGCACGTGGAGCGTGTCCTATGTCTCACAGACTTGTATCCCCTGGCACATGGAGTGTGTCCTATGTCTCACACACTTGTATCCCCTGGCATGTGTGTGTCCTATGTCTCACAGACTTGTATCCCCTGGCACATGGAGTGTGTCCTATGTCTCACAGACTTGTCCCACAGACTTGTATCCTGCAGTGGAGTGTGTCCTATGTGTTCCCCTATGTCTCACAGACTTGTATCCTGTCATATGGAGTGTGTCCTATGTCCCATGGAGTGTGTTCTATGTCTCACAGACTTGTATCCTGTCATATGGAGTGTGTCCTATGTCCCATGGAGTGTGTTCTATGTCTCCTAGACTCCTATATACAGCCCTGTACTATGTGCTGCACAGAGGGCTTCTTCCTCCTCCTCCTCCTACAGCACTGCTGAGACACAATGGAGTGGTGAGTGCCTACAATGGAGCGGTCAGTGCCCACAATGGCAGTGTATAGGGCAGCAGTCCCGGTGAAGTGGTGTGTGTATAGTGTGGCGGTCATTACCACAGCAGGGTGCCGGGCTCTTGTCAGGGCTGTGAGCGGTGGCTGGGCTCTGGACGCCGGGCTCCTCCGTCTTGCTGACCATGTCCTCTGGGTTGGATGGCGCTGGAAGGACAGAGCCGGCCGCTCACACACAGACACACGTGGTGCAGTTGTAACCTCTGCCACCCGACCTTCCCCAGCACACTGCACGACGGCGGCCTCCACAGGACAAACTTCCCCCCGCCTGCTGACTCACTGAACGCCTTAAAGGGACCGAGCCGTGTCCTGTGTGTTTACATGACAGAGGCAGGCAGCAGTGAGCGGTGCTTTCTAGTTCTCTACAGTATCAGAACTGATAGAAATTCCTGAGCCACTTCACCTGTCATACCTGTTCACCCCCTATGGACCCCAGCAATTCTGCTATGGGCCTGTTTATTCTGCCATGTCTCATTACTAAAGATAACGAGGTAATAATACATTTATTGGTTTTTAGGACCAACAAGGCTGTTTTCATGATTATTGTCTTACAATTTTTATTTCCTGTAAATTCATTTTCCAACAAAGAAAAACGCACTTTTATTTTCTTAGTGTAAACATGAAGTGTTGCTGCACATGAAAGGTGTGCATTTTAGTCTGTCATTTGTCACTAACATTATGTATCTGGTACAAAGCACCGCAAAGTATTTACAAATGAAACAAAGGGGTTTTTCAGTTTTGCACTTTTTAATACGGGAAATGTGTAAATATATGTTAAATGTGTAAAAATATTAACAAACAAAAACAAAAAAAGTTTAAAGGATAAGTCCACCTTCTGTAACATGTTACATGTTATATTCAGGGTGTAACATGTTGCGAATAGACCTCCCCCCGCACTCCCCTGATCCCCCATTGTGACAGCTATTGAGGGATCTTCTTTTCCCGCTAGCTGTCACGATTTAAAAAAAAACAAAACAGAATTCTGTGAATGAATGAACTACAAGTCCAGAAAACCTTTGCGGCTGTTGGCTTGTAGTTGTCAACTACCGTGGTGCTGTGGAATGCCATCAGTTGAGTCTTGGGCCCCTTTCACACTGACAGTACTGTCAATTTTTCAGGCAGAACAGATCAGACCATCCATAGCTCTCTGTGGAGCAGCAGGTGTCAGCGGACGTGTCCAATGACACCCGCAGCATCTGATCCAATCCTGTACGCTAAAGGGCTCTTTCAGACAGGATGGCCCCGTTTAGCAGATCCGCTTGCTCAGCGGGGGGAACTCTGCCCGCTGATCCCCGCCCAGCAAGAGGATGACAGGCACAGGGCTGCTCACTCTTCTCAAAAGGCGGTTGGATAGAAACGGACCACCTGTCCATTTTCATCCGATCCGATGGATGGAAGGGGAGTTGGATCCCCATCCATCCCTTTTTGGTGGCTCGGATGTCGGCGGTTGTAAACAGACACATGTCAATTTACACCGTCGCTGCGTAGAGGAGAATGGAGGTACCGATCCGGTCCGCTTGAAAAATGGGCAGGTGGACCCAATTCGGAATGTTCATGTGAAAGATCCCAAAAAACAGACAGATGGGGATCCGTTCCCCATCCATCTAGCTGATCAGATGACAGTCCGGTGGAAACGGACAGGCGGTCTGTCTCTATCCGACTGCCCAATAGAAAACAGCGGGCTGTGTCATCCACCTCTCATCCTCAGCATCAGCAGATCCACTGACGGGTCCACCCTGGCTGAAAGGGGCCTTCCTGTCAGTATGTGCCTGCCTGCCCGTATGATGTATGGGAACATAGACACACTGACAGGTCTGCAGGAGTCCTGCATGGCACCAGTGACCTGCTGATCGCTGGGGGCAATGCTTTAGAGGCTCTGGAAACAAAAAAATAAATACTTTTTTTTTACCTGCAAAAAAAATGTGCATTTATAATTTTTTTGTTAAAAGATGAAGTTATCCTTTTAAATAATAATGGTTAATAAAATAGAACAAAAAAAAAAAAAACTGTAAGAGAGAAGGAGAATAAGGAGTTGATTAGTGCTGATCAGAGTAAATTAACAGGTTAATAAGGTGATAAACAGAGAAATATTTTATTTAAAAAACACACTTTTTTTTTCCTTGCCAGGTTTCTTTAACTGGCATCATCTGCAGATCAAATGTTTCCCTTTGATCTGCTGAACGAACAGAATGATCCAAAAATAACAATATGTTATATTGTACCCTTCTGTAATGTCTGAGCACATGTTATTTCTAAACACTGTCAGACTGCTTTTTTTTGACAGCTGAAAGCTGCCGACCTGCTTGGTGTGTTAGTAAACTTATTTTTTTTAAAAAATTGCTGACAGACAGGATATTTAACCACTTGCCTGCCGGGCACTTTTAAACCCCTTCGTGCCCAGGCCAATTTTCAGCTCTCATTGCTGTCGCATTTTGAATGACAATTGCGTGGTCATGCAACATCGTACCCATATAAAATTTTTATAATTTTTTTCACACACATAAAGCTTACTTTTGGTGGTATTTAATTTCCACTCAGGGTTTTATTTTTTGCACTATAAACAAAAAAAGAGCAAAAAATTTGAAAAAAAAAGTTTTTCTTTGTTTCTATTATGAAATTTTGCAAACAGGCAATTTTTCTCCTTCACTGATGTGCGTTGATGAGGTTGCTCTGATAGGCAGCAATGATGGGCACTGATGAGGTGGCACAAATAAGCAGCACTGATTGGCCCTGATAGGCTGCACTGATGAGGTGGCACTGATGAGGCTGCACTGATATGCAGCAATGATGGGCACTGATTGGCAGCACTGGGCACTGATAGGCAGCACTGATGGGCGGCGCTGACTGGCGGCACTGACTGACAGCACTGACTGGCGGCACTGATGGGCAGCACTCATGGGTGGCACTGCTGGGATTCACATTTGGGCACTTGTGGGTGTCATTGCTGGGCGGCCCTGCTGGGCAGTGATTATCAGTGCCCTGATGATTGGTGCAGATGTCCTCTGTGTCATCTATGACAGCGTGAGGAAAGTGCTGCCAATAACCGGCAACTGTATTTACATTCTGATCTGCTGTGTCATTGGACACAGCTGATCACATGGTAAAAGGCTGCTGTGATTGGCTTTTTACCTCATATTGTGATCAGCTGTGTCCGTAGGACACAGCGATCATGGAGAGCTCCGGGTGCACACCGCTGGGGGCGTGCGGGAGGGCACTGTGATGGGAGTCACTTTGGGTGGGGGGCCCATGGAACCCAGCTCACTTTAGATAAATAGACTATAAATAAGGCTTACCTGTCGGTACAGTGAATATCTTGCCTGGCAGTACTAGGGTCATTGGTTTGAATCCCAACCACGGCACCACCTGCCTAGAGTTTGCTTGTTCTCCCTGTGCCTGTGTGGGTTTCCTCTGGATACTCCGGTTTCCTCCCACTCTCCAAAGACATGCTGGTAGGTTAATGGAACCTGTCTAAATTGTCCCTAATATGTGTATGAATGTAAGTTAGGGACCTTAGATTGTACGCCTGTGACGGACGTGACTTTGGGTGGGGGGCCCATGGAACACAGCTCACTTTGGAGGGGTGGGGAGACCCCTGTCTCAGCTCCCCATATCCCTACTATGTGTAAGTCACCCTGTGCCTGTTATGGGCACAGGGTGGAATGTCCTGATATTGTGTAGACATGTATAGGTGGGGTGTGGGGGTTGTTCATTGTTTACTGCCATGTGGTGCATCCCACTGTTCTATTGTGTGTCCTGCTTGGGAGCAAACTATTATGGGATGTATGCGTTTGTGTATTGGCTTGGTGGGGGGTGTTTCCAGCAGCCCCCCTGATGGGACTGTCTGCTGGTGTGTGTCTCTGAGGGTCCATGCAATCCTTCGATGCACTGCTAAGTAGAGTTCAGTAGGTTGACTTCTTCTCCTCTCATACATTATGTTCTTATTGTTCTCCACTTGGCTGCCTCTGTGGTTTTATGAATGGCCTCTGATGGCATTATCATGGAGCATGCCTTGCTTCAAGTTTTATTGCACTTGAATTCAGACAAACAGGAGCATAAAGGAATAAATTGATTGCTCTTGAGCTTTTAAATCCACAGACAAGTCAAAATGAACCCACACCATTTTAAGCGCTTAACTATAAAAGCCAAAAAAAAAAAAGAAATTGACTGTAAAATTGACCATGCTTTGTTAAACTACGAAGAAGTAAATAACAATTGTCTATTTAGCCTATAAAAAAATGCAAGAACCTGCTGGCAGACTTGGTACATTGGCATAACTGCCTGTACCTGATTGTTATTATACAGGATTTATGTAGCGCCAACGGTTTGCGCAGAAATCTACAAAATGAAGGTAGACATTACAGTTACAATACAATATGGTACAAGAGGAAACAGAGGGCCCTGCTCATTAGAGATTACAATCTAGGAGAAAACTGTTTATGTGGACAGCACAGTGGATAAATGGGTAGCACTTCTGCCTGGCACCACTAGAGTTGGTTCAAATCCCAACCATAGCACCACCTGCCTTGTGTTTGCATGTTCTCCCTGTGCCTGTGTGGGTTTCCTCCGGGTACTCTGGTTTCCTCTTACACTCCAAAGAGATGTTGGTTGGTAGATTCATTGGATCCTGTCTAAATTGGCCCTGGTATGTATGAATGTGAGTCAGGGACCTCAGCTTGTATACTCCTTGAGGGTTAACAGCTGATGTGAATGTACAATATATATGTAAAGTGCTGCATAAATTGGCAGTGCTATATACGTACCTGTAAATAATCATGATTGCACAGGTAAGAGCCCAACTTTGCCAATCATCTTTAATGAGGGGGTGAAGTTGTTCCTTCTTCCTATGAAATACCACATGGTTTGAATGTAGAAGGCTGGTAGAATGGTTGTTGATGTACCAAAGCAGGTTTCTCTTGGAAGAAAATGCAAAGACCAGAACTTCAATATACCAAATCCCATCTGAATTCTCTTATATACAGCTACAGTATATCAGTATATATAGCATACTCTTTATCTCTATTGGTGATAACAGTATTCTTTCTAATTCCAGAGAGCTTTGTTGTCTTTTTTTTTCTTGTAGAATCATGTCTGCTAAAGATCCAAAGTACAGCTGAAGAATTGTTTACA